AAAAAAAAAAAAAAGTAATGGGTGTTATTTCTGAGTAAAAGAAAACAAAAGTAGCTATCAATTCTGAATTTATAAAAATAAAATAAAAAAGTAAACTATGTGGCAAAGCAATATCAGCATAATTTCTGGCTACTTTTAAAATGGCACTTGGCTGTAATTCAAATAAAGAAATTTGGAAAACAAAATATAATTTTATTATAAATCTTCAAATTACTACAATTTTAGATATGATATTATTTTCAGTTCCCATGGACATTTTAAAAAATTAAATAACATGTAGAATATTAACTGAGAAATAGTTGAAAGAATTTTCTCTTTCTTTACAAAGGTGGTGTTTCGTGTTTATATGCCATGGAGTCAGCTCCAAATTATGACAACCCTATATGGGGTTTCTGAGACTGTAAATCTTTACCAGAGCAGAAAGCATCACTTTCTCCTACAGAACTGCTAGTAGTTCCAAACTACTGACTGTGAGATTAGCGGCTCAACTCATGACCACTATGTTACCAGTAGAGAATCACCCCACTTTATGTAAATAGGGATGGTTCTATAATCCTTGACCCAACAGAGGGAATGACAGATTTTATTTGTGTTCCTGGATGTTTTATTCAGGTAACTTAATAGATCCATATTTCCATTGCTAATCACAAGTTCATCAGTTCAAATCCAGCAGGTGGTGCATGGGAGAAAGATGATGCTTTCCACTCTTTTAAAGATTTACAGCATTGGAAACCATATATATCAGATCACTAGGAGTCAGGATCCAATTGATGGAAGGGAGTTTGAGTTTTGCGAAGATGAAATTATTACATAGTGGTACATTTTCAATTCTCAGAATGCAGTGTGGTAAAATAAAAAGAGCACTAGACTCTAAGTCAGGAAATAAAGACTGGAAATAGGGTATCTGATGCTTTTGGATCAAATGAACTTGGGAAAATTATTTCAGTTCTTTCAACTCCTTTCCCTCATCTATAAAACAGAAATAATGAATTAAACAGTGCAATAGATGTTATCTAGCATTGGGATTCCATGCATATCAATTTCCAAGATCCATTGGTTGTGGCTGGATAAAGCACTCACTTGTGAAAGACTTTTACATGAAGCCACAAAGGGCTCAGCATGATTTATAAAGGATGTCTCCCTTATAAATATCCCTTGCTGGTGTAGTACAGGTATTCCAAGACTCCCTACCCTCTCTCCTCTCCTGCCTTACTTCTTTCCACTTATTCTTCCTTTCACCGTATTGCATATAAAATGTGGGCACAAGTACATTTAATTTAAAATGTCAAATACAGAGTTCAGGTTAAACACACTGGATTAAAATCCACCGTTTTTAAATGTATGAGTATGTATTTTTCCCTGTTCTCTTTTTACATTCATAAAACAGAAATAATAAATTAAATAGTACAATAAGATGTTATCTAGCAATGGGTAGCAATGCTAGATAACATCTTATTGTATCATGATAATAAAATTAAAATAAATAGATAAAAATAAACTTTCAAAGACAATGAAGTAAGAAGGAAAACTATCAGAAACACCAAATGTATTTGGAACTAGAATCTGGAAAGCAAGTAGATAAAAGGTATTTGTCAACAGACAATAGACAATTGAAATTTACTGTGGGAAAGCTGAAAAGAAGAAAGTTGATTAATAAAACAGGATACTAAAAAGGATGGGTTTCAAAATTACTCATGTATGAAAGAGTTGATTGAAAAGTACTATTAGGCCACCTGATCCCCTCAGCACCACACACAACCAGGTAATTTATCGCCTTCCTTTCATTCATGTAGGAGACTAGAGGTTCTAGATTCAGGTACATCTAAGGAAAGGATTAATATAACAACAACAATAATATTAAGGAAGGTACAACATTAAAATAAGAAAACATGCCAATAAAGATATGATATACAAGAACAAAGAAGAAATGGATTCTTACCAGGATGATAGTTGTAACAGAAAGTTTAGAGCTCAACTAGGACTCCTGGTGTGGCACTGTAGGATCAGCACTGGACTGTGAACAACAAGATCAGATCGGCCCTTCAAACCCACCAGCTGCTCCTTGGAAAGCCTATGCAGGGTCACTATCAATCAGAACTAACTGAATGACAGGATGAAGGACTCAAAGACGACTATTCTTAAACAAAGAAAAGATTATCAAGGGGGTGGTTTGAATAGAATGAAAGATATTCAAACAAGATTTTTTTTGTTGTTAAAGCAACATATGAAAGCAAGTATTTTTAACATAGAATGCAACTCAACTGTGTTACTAAGTATTTACATTGTTTTTGTAAGTGCCCTGGAGTCAGTTCTGGCTCATGTTGTTGTTGTTAAGTACATAATGACCCTGTATAGATTTCTGAGGAGTGGCTGGTGAGTTCAAATCACTGACCTTGGTGTTTTAACCCAATGTGGTGTATATTGATTATTGCACAGTGCCACATGACCTGGTATAGGGTTTCCAAGGATTGGCTGGTGGGTTTGAACCACTGACCTTGGGGTTGATGGTACAATTTTTATGCTACAGGGCCACACCAGGACTCTGTATTTATATAGTCATGTTGTTGTTGTTAAGTGCCGTCGAGTCGTTTCCGACCCATAGCGACCCTGAAAAGGGTTTCCGAGGCTATAAATCTTTACAGGAGCAGAAAGCCTCATCTGTCTCCCGCAGAGAAGCTGGTAGTTTTGAATTGCTGACCTTGCAGTTCGCAGCCCTATTCGTAACCATTACACTACCAGAGCTCCTTTATATAGTCATAGGATTGGGTTAATGTGCTGGACTGCAATGTCGCCTTAAACTGCAAGGTCAGTGGTTCAAGTTCACTAGCTGCTCCTAGAAAACCCTATACAGGTTTGCTATGGGTCAGAAACAACTCAACGGCACAGAACTACAACAACAGTTGTAACTGGTGCTGTGGAATAAAGCACTGGACCACATAATCGGTTTGAACCACAAGGTTAGTGTTGCAAACTCACAGCTGCTCCTTGGAAACCCTATACAGGGTCACTATGAGTCAGCAAGACTCCATGGCACTTAACAACAACAACAAACAACAGTAGTTAAAATGGATTCCTGGTGTGACTCTACAGTTAAGCAAGCATTAGACTGTCAATCAAGAGGTTGGCAGTTGAAACCCACCAGTGGCTTCTGGAAAACCCTATAGAGGTCTGTACTGAGTTGGAACTATCTTGATGGCATTTAACAACAGTAATGAAAACAATAAATATTAGTTAAACCCTAAATAGTATAATAATTCTAATGGGAACATAGAGGAGGGAATGTACAAGTGTTTAATGAGGAGACTTTATAAGATAATTGAATTTCCCATAATTGACTGTGGAAAATGCTATGGAATATTTTTTTTAAAAAAAGTTTTAAAGTTGATTACACAGAATAAGCAAGTCAAGTGGAAATATAAAAGTAAATAACAACAAAAGTCAGTTAAACTTATTTATTGAAATTGTCTTTGGGCAGCAGGAACAGTGAATAGAGAAGTATAGACCATAGGCCTACTAGGTAATTTTCCTTAATTTAATTTTAGTTTATAAGTCTAAGAGTCATTGGTGGTGGTTATGTGCCGTGGAGTCGGTTCCGACTCATAGCGACCCTGTACAGGGTTTCCGAAGCTGTAAATCATTATGGGCTTTATGGGAGCAGAAAGCCTCATCTCTTTCTCCCATGGAACAGCTGGTAGTTTCGAACTGCTGACCTTGCTGTTCGCAGACCGATTCATAACCACTACACTACCAGAGTGCCTTAAGAGTCATTAGTTGGCTAGAAATAAAATCATATTTAAATAAAAGACACAGATTTATAAAGTATGTGCAAATGATTAAGAACTAAAAAAATCACAAAGCCACTGACAAACGAGAATCTGGCATAGTTTGGCTACTTGTTAGGCAAAAAGAGAAAATCAGCAAGGATAAAGAAACTACTGTAGATTTTTAGAATGCAAAAATTTTGAATGTTGATAACTAAGAGAAGCTCTTGAGAAAAATGATAAGACCTTGAAATTGTTATACAAAATAACCTTATGATTATGTTGGTCAAAGTTGTAATTTTAAAAAGTGTCATTTGGTTATAGCATAAAATTTTATCAGAAAAATTCTATAAAAAGATAACAGTACATAATATAAACAAATTACCAAGGTTATGAAAATGTATTTTTAGATTATGAAAAGTGTTGTTGTTAAGTACTGTCAGTGGGTTCCAATTTATAGCAACTATACCAGCAGTTCTGCAGGAGACGGATGAGGCTTTCTGCTCCTGTAAAGATTTACAGCCTTGGAAACCCTGTACAGGGTCACTATGAGTTGGAACCGACTCCACAGCACATAACAACAACAACAACAACAACAACATAGGGTTTCTGAGGAGCAGCCGATTTGACCTGCTGGCCTTCAGTTCAGGGCTTATACATCAGTTTCAAATTCTGATGGAAATACACGAGTTTCAAATTCTGATGGAAATACAATGCTATTATCTCATAAGATCGGTTTTCTATGTTATTTGGGACAGATTCCTGACCATGCTGACAAAGCCATTTCGTAAGAAAACTATAGCTTATTATGGTTCTTACTAACCAATAGCTCCTAATTCCCAAGCTCTGTCAAAAATCAGGTCCTTAAGAGTCATGCATCAGGCATCTAAATGTGTAATATTTAGAAAATATTGAATGAAATATGGATATTGCATCTAGAATTATCAACGTATGTTTCATGGGCTGATATCTATAGTAAAAATTAACACAACCAATTTATATTGTCTTTATTTATCTGTAATAAAAAATACTTGAAATAAATATCAATTTTGATATTTATATTACTAACCTTTTTGAACTAGATGTCTTGCTTTTTTAGATTTTATGCCAATGTCTTTTGTTTTTAATTCAGATAAAATAGAGGAAACGTATTTTTTCTGTTCACTTGGATGTTTCAAATCAACTAGAGACTGCATCTTCTGTGGAAACAAAACAAAACAAAATTCCATGACAATAATGCTATCTCATATATGTTTCATAGCTCTCAAAGAGCTCTCATAAGCATTATGTATACTGATGACAGATTTTCATTTAACAAGAACAAAATCTATGAGATAGGCAGGGTTAAGGAAAGAAAATACAATCATTGTATATGATTTTGATAAATTATCCTTTTGTTAACATTACCTATATGGTCTTTGAAATGTTTCAAGGGAGACTGAGGGAAAAGGAGAACTTGTAATGGGAGTACCATGACAAAAGGAAAGCGAGGAGGAGTAATAAGAGATAAACAGAGAGATACGACAGTATTGTTCAGAGAGTCTAAATGAAGACTGACAATAGGAAAGGGAGAGACAAATTATTTCACAGAACACTAAAAGGCAGTAAGTAAGGGAGACAGAAATGGGAACAGAATTATCACAATTCTTTAAAGTAAAAATAGATGAGATATGCGTAGGATGAAAAACAAGTAGAATAATTAACTGTATAATATTTGCAAATTTGTTGGGAATGGTACAGTGTTAGCTCTCTTTCTTTACACAGTAGGTCTCTTTAGTTCATCATATAGTGAGGATTTTAGATTTGGGAGCTGTCAAGTCAGGGTTCCAATACTCTTTTTTGGATCAAAACAATTTGTGTCTTTAAACCTTCTGTGTTTATGTTCTCACCTGTAAAATTTCCTAGATGACTTCATGTGGTGGTGATGGTTATGTGTCGTGGAGTCAGTTTTGTTTGACTCATAGCCACTCTCTACAGGGTTTCTAAGGCTATAAATCTTCATGGGGGGAGAAAGCATCATCTTTTTCCCTCAGAAGCACTGGTAGTTTTGAACCGCTGACCATAAGATTAGCAGTCTGGCTCGTAACCACTATGCTATCAGAGCTTCTTCATGGTGGTGGTTATGTGCCGTGGAGTCGGTTCCGACTCATAGTGACCCTGTGTAGGGTTTCCGAGACTGGAAATCTTTATGGGAGCAAAAAGCCTCATTTTTCTCCCACGGAACAGCTGGTAGTTTCGAACTGCTGACCCTGAGGTTAGCAGCCCAATTCATAACCACTAAGCTACCAGAGCTCTTTCATAAAGATGCATAAAAAAGAAATCAATCTAAATGGTAGCAATTCTATTATTTTCACTTCCTGTTCATTATTAAGGAGTTCTGGTGTGACACTGTAGGATAAGTATTGATTGCTAACCACAAGTTTAGCAATTCAAACCCATCAGCTGCTCTTTGAAAACCCTATAAAGAGTCACTATGAGCCAAAACCAACTCAATGGCACTTACCCACTACCATCACTGCAATAACAATTCTCTATTAAACTCATTGTACCCACAGCATTCCCTGAAATTGCTGTGCCAATAGTGATACGCCACTGGTTCAACTCAAAAGATTAGGATCCGTATCTTACATTTCTAGAACGTTTTACTATTGCTCTTCTTTAAGGAGCTCTGGTAGCGTAGAAGCGACTCCACGGCACATAACCACCACCACCTTCTTTGGTTGACATTGTCTTTTTCCTTGATATCACACTCCCTCAGTTCCTTTTCATCATCTGTTACTATTCCTTCCTATTTGATTTGCCCTCTGTCTCTAAAATGTTGGTGTGTTCTAGTGTTCTATCCTTGCATTCAACCCTGTACAATGGCTTCCACTAACTTTAAATCAGCGAGTCACAGGGGAGATAGTGTGGTTGGTTTTACAAATTATTTCCTCTGCGTATAAAGGAAAATACAAATAAGAATCTTAAACTAGTCAAAGATAAATTGTGTTTCACATTATAAAAGGTATTGCATCCAATAACTTCCATTATCATGTCAGTCCTACTATGAGAAACCAAAAGGTCATTGAAAAGACATAAACAACAGAAAAGACAAAAATAGATGTCAGAAAGGCTTTGAAACTTGCTCTGGAGCATAGCAAACCAAACGGAAGAAATGATGACATAAAAGAACTGCACAGAAAATTTAAAAGGTAGCTCCAGAAGACACAGTAAAGTATTATGATAAGTTATGCAAAGACCTGGAGTTAGAAAGCCAAAAGGGAAAAATAGACTCAGCATTTCTCAAGCTAAACACTGAATGATTCAGAAAGCATAACAAGAAGATGGAAGAAATATACAAAGTGACTGCACTAAAAAGAAATGGCTGATGTTCCAACCATTTCAAGAATTAGCATGTGGTCAGAAGTCAATGGTAATGAAGGAAGAAGTACAAACAACACAGAAAACAGTAGTGAAAACAAGGAACCAGGAATTGATGGAACACAGCTCACTCATCTATAAAAAGAAATTAGGAAAAACAGCAACCTGGCCAATTGATTGTAAGAGATCCATATTTGTGCCCATTTCAAAGAGAGGTGGCCAAATGATGTGGAAATCATTTAACAATATCATTAATACCACAAATGCAAGCTGCTCCTCAGAAACCGTATTCAAGGTCACTATGGGTTGGAAGAGACTCAACGGCACTTAACAACAATAACAACAATATAGCATCAGGATTGGAGGAAGACTACAATCTGTCGATGATACAACCTTGCTTGTTGGAAGCGAAGGGGACTTAAAATTCTTACTGATAAAGATCAAAGACTATAGCCTGCATATGAATTGCACCACTATGTAAAGAAAATAAAAATTCTCACAACTGGACCAATTAATAATATCATGATTAAGTGAAGAAATGTTGGAAGATGTCAAAGACTTCTTTTTGCTTTGATTCACAACCAACACTTATGGAAGCAGACGCAAAATGAACGGTCAGCTAAAAAGAGGAAGACCCCCAATGAGACAAATTGACAGAGTGGCAGTAGCATGGCCTCAAACACCAATTGTGAGGATGGTGCAAGATTGAGCAGTGTTTCAGTTGTGCTTAGTGTCACTGTGATTCAGAACCAATGTACCTCATAACATAAGTTACTATAATTATGATTTTTATTCTTGAGTTTTTCTCATCAACATAGCTGCTAGAGCTCCAAGCACCCTATTTATAATCCAGGAAGAAGGATGGAGGAAAGGGGGAATGACAAATGACATATGTCATTGGTATTAAGGAGTTTTACCAGGAATCTTTAGAATATATTTGATTTATATCTCATAGCTGCAAAGGGGAGGGGAGTAAATATAGCATTTTATTAGACACTTTGCCACCTGTAATAAAATTGAGGAATAGTTTATGGGAAAGAAGAAAAGGGAAAATGTTAGCAGGAAAACAATAGTCTCTGTCACAGGGATAAGTCAGAAATATGGGAGGGGCATCTATCCGTATTTTGCAAAATATTCCTTTATGAGAACAACTGGAAAATCTACTGCACAAGATCTCTTTAAAGTGTTGAAGAGCAAAACTGTTAGTTTGAGGACTAATGTTTGCCTGATACAAGTCATGGTGTTTTCAATAGCCTCATATGCATATGAAGGTTGGGCAGTGAATAAAGCAGACCATAGAATAATTGATGCATTTGAGTTATGGTGTTGGAGGAGAATATTAAAAGTACCATGGATTGCCTGGAGAAGAAACAAATCTGTGTTGGGAGAAGCACAGTCAGAATGCTCTTTAGAAGCCAGGATGGTAAGACTTCATCTCAAACTTTAACATGTTATCAGGAGGGAACAGTCCTTGGAGAAGAATATTATGTTCGGTAAAATGGAGGGTTGGAGAAAAAAAGGAGGACTCCCAACAAGATGGATTGTCACAGTAGCAACAGCGATGGGTCCAAATGTAGCAAACATTGTGAGGTTGACGAAGCTACTGACTTGATGGCACCTAACAACAACAATGAGGACGACTGATCTGAATTCTAAAGACACATAAATATACATCTTTAGATATATCATCTTTGTGAGGTGTTTGCTTTTGCTTGTTTGTTTATGAAATACTTATATAGAAATACTTAAGTAGTGCTAACAATATACCATTATTTCTAAACTCTTTGCAAATATTAAATTATTTAATACTCTTAACAACTATTAGCTGCGGTCTATCATCGTGGAAAGTCTGATAGACGTATCATAATCAAGAGAACTGAAGCCTTGTCTTTGTTTTCAAATTTACTTAGAATGTGTTCCTAGACTCTGAGTATGTGTCCAAATTCCCTATGTTACAATTTCTCCTAAAATTCCTTTAATTAAATACTTTTATTTAATTAAAGATGCATGAATTTCTTTCTTTTAAATTTTAAATGTTATATTCTTTAACTTATCTACTGAAAGTGTTTTTATACAGTGACTCATTCTTCAAAGATTTATTATCATTAGAGTTACTCAGTATTATCTGCTTATGGAATAAATCTCAGATTTTTTTGTCTTCATTAAGTTATCTTTTTACTTATGACCACTCACATAGACTTTTTTTTTCCAGTCTTTACATAATTAAAACCCTACACTTTTTGTTAGGAAGACATATAAGGAGGTATTTTTTAACTCAAATATTCTCTTTATATTTAGAATTTTTTCTTAAGCTTGCAAACAGTTATTATAATATAACACACAAAACCAAAACATAGCATCAATATATGACATGATTTAAGCTACTTCTATTTTACATAGGCTCTATTATTTCTATTAAGTAACATATGACAAAAATTAATATAGACAATTATTTTATAATCAAATATGTAAAAATCAACTCCAAATTTTTTCAAGCTCAGATATCTTTAGCAACCTATTTCACATGACATCACCATTCTTGTGTCTTCCAACAAATATGAATTTGTTCTATGTTGATTACTTCTTTCTGTGCTTTCCTCTTAACAATGCAGGTTATTTAACAATATTAAAAATCATCTCAAATTTCACTTCAGCCATAGAAATGGACCTTTTCCTTATTGAGAGTCCACAGTTATTCTTCTCTTAAGAAAACAGTAAAATTAGAATATACAAACGCAATTAATAATTCTGTTCCCACCACTATTTATTCTTTTACTGAAAGAATACAGAGACACTGAGATATTCAACCTCCATCCCCCCAAAAAAAAAT